CAGTACGAGAGATACTCTCGTAAGAGAACGTACTCGGTTACTAACGTAACCTCGGTTCTCTCTAGAGAGGGAACGAGTACTGCGTATCTTGCCGTGCTTGGAATACGCTCTGGTTCGCTTCGGCGATGAAAACCAGCTTGTACCAGCCTAACGAGCATATTTATAGAGTGAGACCACGCCCTTTCTGGCGGGACGTGACGATTTGGGCGCGAGTTGCCCCCATTGGTCATTACGTCACGCAGAGTCTCTCTCGATAGGCTGCTGCATTTGCCGCAAGAGCAGCCAATAGGCGCGCAAGCTGTCTCGCCTGTGTCAGCTTGCTGCTGCAAAGCGTTTTACATTAATAAAAAATTAAGGATCATTTTTGGCTTCAATATCTCGTGGAAAAGAGGTTTTCCCCGAGCGTAAGCTATTACGCAGTACTCGTTCCCTCTCTAGAGAGAACCGAGGTTACGTTAGTAACCGAGTACGATTTCTTCACACCTAGTGTTGAGCAGTGCTCCTGTCTTGTGCGCGCATGTCGCTTGCACATACTAAAGTGCTAGGTCAGGAGTGGAGCAGGTCTTGATAGTTGCCCCTTATTGGCCCAACTAGACCTAGTTCCCCTCAACAGCCCTTTCTGACTTTCCCCTGAATACATTCTCAGGCACGGGGCATGATGGCACCCGCGTTCAGACCCCTGGAGGATTTCAGGCCGGTCCTAAAATTGGACGCGGAGGTTCAGGTAGCTACCGCAGGAATTATGTGGTAGTCACCATCACTTCTGCGAGAGCACCCCCTAAAAAGAGGAAGTTTTGCTTACGCCAAATAGAAGTGGAACCTATTCGTTGAGTGAGTCTTCTCTCCGTGAGGAGATCCTGAAGGCGTTCGTTCATTTCAGTGCTCTCTTTTCTGCAAGATGGGTTGGAGTGAGGGCTGTGTCCTCCACCCTTCAAAATGATGTTGCCTCTATTTTTTGACGCACATCATGATGCAGTAGCATGGGAAGCACGTCCCGATCGTCAGGTTCCTGAGGGAGCAAGGGAAATTAATCTCCTTGCGCCCCTCTTTATCCTCTTGGGCTTTATCTCTGGTGCTACTGCACTGCAGAGACCGCCCCTGAGCCACTGCAGGCAGTGAGTTAAAAATTCTGTTTTTTAGAAACAGTTCTCCTGCTCGCCTGGTTTCTACTAGAGGTTAGGGACTTGCTCGCTTTCGGTCAACGAGTTTAGCCTGGATTTCGGGCTGGCTAACTCTCACGAGCTGAGATCCCGGCCTGGATATGTTCCCAAGGTTCCTACCTCTCCCTAAGGAGGGACCAGGTAGTGAACCTGCAAGCGCTGCCCCGGAGGAGGCAGACCCAGCCCTGGCTTCTCTGTCCGTCCACTTCATTGCTGTTATACGTGCTCAGAATGTAAGCCTTTGGACCTCAGACCAGCTCTTGTCTGTTAAGGAAATCAGCAGAAAGGGAAGGCTGTTTCCAAGTGAGGTTGGCCCACTGAAATAGTGGCTGCCTTCATCTTAGTGAAAATCCCAAGATGCACATGTCCACCTAGGTGGTGAGCTCCTCTTAAATGAGTGTGTGCTTCCGCCTAGGCCAGGGGTAGGCAAGTTCGGTCCTAGAGAGCCGCTGTCCTGCAGAGTTTGGCTCCATTGATTAGGGTTGGAGCTAAATTCTGCAGGACAGCGGCTCTCTAGGACCGAACTTGCCTACCCCTGGCCTAGGCGTTGACACAGCGTGCTTCGCTGACAGATATTCTAGAGTTGAGGGCTAGGCGACACCTATAGTCGAACTGCTGCTTCCCGTGGGCTCCCTTCTCATGAAGCCAGTTTCACCGTGAGCCCATGTCGAAGTGTCGGCTTGCTGCGCCATTCCCATCCTATGGACTGGATACGTGCGCAATTCTTGCTCCAGTAGAGTTCCCTCTTAAACCGAACCCTGTTGAGTTCCTCTACACCCTCCGGCGACGGACGCGGCGGAGCGTCCGAAGCCAGGCCTACCACTCGTATGCACTGTGGAACTTGTGCTTGGCTGGGTCCATATGTTGCGATCGCCACGGTGATCCCATATGTGTATTCTTCTACGATACGGCTCCCTGTGGCGAGCCCGTGTCTTCCCTTGGCAGAGCTTTCTGCCGTCACTGACTGGTTAGTAGCTCCCCCCTGTTATAGGCTGGAGCCTCCCGAGTGACATTCCATATGTTGTACTGCCCGTCAATTCGCCCATTCCATATGTGTATTCTCCACATGTTACCTCCCTGTGACAGGGTGTGGATTCCACAGCGTCCCTTCCTTCCATGTACAGGGAACGCTTTCCCAGTGGTCCTGTATGAACAGCAGTGACTTCCCTGGCCTAAAGCCTTGTCCCTTCTCCGCCTTAAATCGAGGGTTGATCAGGAGGGTTCTGTCTAGGCACTGGAAGGTGGCAGCACTAGTGGCGTTTTTCAATAGATCCCCATTCAGTCGACATCGACTACGTCTGACGTTCTCGACTGAAAGGGAATGTCCTGGTTGCGTATAGTGATCGACTATATATCGACCAGCCGATAAATCGGGCCGATATTTGCGTTTTTTACGTGCATCGGATGATACGGCTGCTGCGTTCGCCGATAGTTTTTTCCCGGCATTATTTACAGACAGGCGTCCACAGGCAGCTCTGTGTTGCTGGAGACGCTGCATTTCACGTGCAGACCATGCACTGCCCCTCCCCCACTAGCAGAGTGCTGGAAGCCTGCTCTTCAAGACAGCGGCAAGTTTTAAACTTTCAAAGCATCTTTTATCTGTTTGACTCATAGACTGTAAAAAAATACTTAGTTTGACTTAGCTGAAAATATTGCCATAGACTTTGAAAGTGGAAACACGTTGCTCTATATGTGCTTGCAACTATAGCTAAGCAAGTTTGTGGGTCCAAATGGAAAACGCGAATCACGAATACCTCGTCTATAAACCTGCTTGCCATTGTATTTAGGGAGCTGCAAATAGCTAAGTTGTAGGCTATCCATATGTATACGGTAGCTGTTACGAACACTGGTCATAGGATTAAGGAATGCCGACGTTGTTCCGTGGTATTTGTGGGAGTTTTATTCAGTGACCACCTGGCTGAGGTTACGAGTGTGGTGTGTGTCTCTCTCCCTCTCTCCCTGAGCTGGGCGGAGTTGCCATCGCAGTGATATCAGAGCGCAATAAGAGCTTTAATGATGAGATAAATGTTTTTTACGTGGTTGAATATTAATTTGTGTTAACGTTTATCATGTACCAGACATAAGTGCACCGGGAATGCCTTGTGTTTAGAGCCGTTTGCTGACGTTATCATTATCAATCCAGTTCAATGGTGGTTGAGTTTTTCAGTCAGCATCAGCTACCAATCAGAAGTTCATGTGTGTGTGTGTGTGTGCGTCTGTCTTACTCAGTGGGCACATTTTCCTTATATTCTTATGAAAGCCATTTGCTCTACAAGAGATTAAGTTAAGTGCACTAAAACTTAGGCCTAAGCATTAAATGACTAGGTTGTAAATAGTTGGTTACTTTTAAAATGAAGTATAGTACAGCGTGCACTTTATTATGCTGCACTGCTAGTGACTGCTGCTCATTTTCCCCCAAGAATATCATGTTAACAACAACCCTTTAGAAAAAAGTAATTCCTTTGTGGATCCTCTTGATCTGCTTTCTCCATGTTTCTTTGACTAATCTCAGTGTCTCAGTCTCACGCACGCTGCACGCGAGTTAACCATGTTCGACACATTTAAGTGGGGCCATCCACACTGTTTTTATCCATTGTAGGCACCGCTCACGTTGTGTTTTCGGCTTTGGAAACGGAAAGAACACAACTCCTCCAGACAATCTATCGGGGTACCTATCGGGGTAACTTACTCCAGACAATCTATCGGCCATGGGCGCACCGCTTCACCATCTTGCTTGGAGTCAATGTTTGACGGACCTACTCACATGGTAACGGTTGCTATGATGTGTGATTGGACAATGGCCGTTTTGGGGGAGGGGCCGGCGAAAGGTCAATTACCGGTATGCTTAAATATTTATTTTCAGTATTTTCAGCACTGAACTCTTTTTTTTACTTGTTCTACCTCACATGTTTTTAATATTTGTTAAATATTGTTTATCTACTTGTTCTTACTTGGTCTACCTCACCTGTTTTTACTAATTTTGTTAAATATTGTTTTTTTTCAATAAAAAGTTCAATAAATGTTTTTTTTTTTAAATTGAGACTTGTAACATTTGTTATCATCATTGTGTCATTTTTATGATGTAAATTGAGGGAACAAAAGCAGTATCGGCTCCAAATATCGGCTCAAGAAAATCGGCAGCCGGTAAGATTTGTTGTAACCGGCATCGGTTAAGGCTGATGAAAAAAAATCGGTATCGGCACAAAAAAATCCATATCGTTCGATCCCTAGTTGCATATGCAACCCACCGTTCCCTGAAGGAGGGAAGGGAAGACGTAGTCCCTCGCCACTACTGCTGGACCATCGCTGACTCCAGGGGTCGCTCGGCTCCTCAGCGAAAAAGCAACTGGTGCGTGCGTCCACTTACATACCTGCGCTGCGGGGCGGAGCGTGTAATCACGCACGCCAATGTTGAATTGGCTTGTTTAAATAGTAGTACGAAGAAGACAGGCTCCCTAAGCGTGATCCCCATTCAGTCGACGTCGACTACGTCCTCCGTTCCCTGTGGGTTGCATACGCAACCAGGACGTTTTATAACCTATATATATGTTTTTGTGATTATTACAGTATTGAGTTTAGCAACATGTTAACATCCACTTTAATTGTGAAATAGTGAGTGTTAATAGATTTCTTTTATGCTATTTAGTTGCCTTTGTGGAGCGTTTCAAACAAATCCCTTTTGAAGTTTCAATTTAATTAGGATGCTTCTCTAGAAAGTGCCTCGTGGACAGTGAGGAAGCTGACTAGCTAACTACTGTATTATTGGATCAGTATTTTAATTCATTTGACCATTGATACTTGTTGTAATATTGAGTGTGGTCAGTCTCATGTGTTTCCCACCTGTACTTCTATGTCTCTCTCCACCCGGGAGATGTTGACGGTGTGGGGCTGCCCGTTGGCCAAGTTCCTCTGGTCAATATCAATGGTGAAGGGTTCTCTGAGACCACCCAAGTTGTAGCGCAGCTGCAGGGTACCTGAGTGAAACGGTGTGAGACAATAAGACCAGGTTTATCCAGAACTCAACCATCAGTTGAGCTCAAACATCACTTCTACTCCCTGACATAACTCACCTACACTGCACACTGTGCAACGGCCCTACAGGCTGCAGGGAAGAGCAGAACCTCATTTGGGTTACAGCACAGGCCAGCAAGATACATTTGCTCAGAGGCTACAGAGTAAAATTCGATGTGGGCTTAGGGCAGCTTAACTCAAAGAATAAGCATCACCAGTCTTGTGTGTCCACCTTAGGTTTTATGGGATGGTATTTAACGAAAATGCCGTGCTACAAATTAAACAACAGTACATCTGAGTCATTGAGTTTAATGTGAAATCGTGTCCCTGAAGGGAATAAGGGTCCTTTTTTAAACACCAGATGCGTTTTACTTTTAAACTCTAAAAAACATGGATCACAGTGTTGTGCTTATGCCAAACAAACAGGGATGTAATTGCCTGCGCTCTGCCATTTGTCATATAATTAGCTTTTACTGTTGCGCCTCCACTTCAAAAAGCAATTCAGCCTGCTGCAATAAATTCTCCTTTATTATTACAGTGCAGTTTCAGAACTGCTGTGGAACAATCTTACAGACACATGTGTATTGCATCAGCATCCATACTTAATGATGAACTGCAAAGACTAACCAGGTGCGATGCAATAGGTTCGCAATTTGTCCGTTCATACGGAAAGCAACAGTGTTGTGCAATAACAGCTATTCAGAACATATTTGATTTTGAATATACAGTCACGTGGTACAATAGATTCTTTTCACATTTCCGGAGATCTCAGAAGCAGAAGTCATAGTTGGGTAACTTCTACATTATAGTGGTGAATGGAAAACTACAACAAATATAATTTCTGCATTCCCATCTGTCCCCATAGTAAAAGAAAAAAATCCACGATTGAGCTTCTATAGCCCCTATTTACACAGAGATTCCGGCAAATACACTGATAATGTGTCCCGGGATCGTTTGATTTTGGTTCATTCACACTGCCAGTGATTTTCTGGAATCTGTGCGTGTGTTCACATCCCGTAAAGATCCAACCCGATCTCACGGCAATTCGTATGAATTTTACGAGTTGGCTATTTGTAAGAATTCATACGACCTCACTCGTACGAATTCGTAAATTGTACATATTTTACGAGTTGCCCAATTCGTTTGAATTCGTACGAATGACCTACCCCTGACTCCGCCCCTAAACCTACCCATCACGTGGGTTTAGACAAATCGTACGAATTCGTACAAATGAGGTCGTACGAATTTGTACAAATTAGCCAGTTTTAACTCACGAATTGGTCGTGAGATAGCGTTGAAAGATCCTGTAAAGACACGTGACATCAGGATGACGAACACAAACTTTCTTCTTTGTTAATGTGCAACGTGAACGTTGATCAGCATTTAAAACTCCCGGTCAAAGAGTCGCAAGATTACTACGTCATTGCGACTACACATCACTATGACACACCCCTTATGGCATTGGTCCTGCCTTTTGTCCACACAGAGCGCGTTCCCGGAATGATCCTAGCAATGTTACTACGCCCACATCCCAGAATCAATCCCGGGATGTGTTTGCATTCACACAGAAGGCACTTTAGAAATTTTAAGGCAATTTTATGGGATCAACGCTCAGTGTGAAAGGGGCTTATGACTTTCCACAAGAGCAAAAAAATATTGAGAGTTTCATTACATCGGCCAGAATAGGGAGCAAATGTCAAAATTTGCTGTCACTCCTTCAGGCCAAGGTAAGAAAACACCAAGTATAGTGTTATAAATGTACATACATAAAAAAAACTAAAATATAAAAAACTTTTTTACGATTTCAACAACTGTGGAAACGTCCATCACAGTCTGTGAAAAGGGTCTTTGGATCAATGAGATTTTAGCCGTTCATCTCATCTTCGCAATGCCTCAAACAACGTCTTACCATTGTGATGGAGCACCACGGCCATGTAATCCTGGGTCTTTGAGCTGACATAGACCAGAAGGCTGGGAGAAGTAGAGGTGCTAAAGCTGAAGGTCAGGTCTTCACGTGTCAAGTTGGTCTCGACGGGCAGGTTGTGGATTATGCTCTTCTCATCCAGGCTGGAGGCGGCAGCCACCACTTCAGGTACCAGATTATACTTGACCAGTGTTCCCGCCTCAAAGAAACCACCAACGTCTGGAAAAGAATGAGGTGTTTCTTCAGACGATATTGACATTTAGGCAACATTCTTGTTGGCCCTAGAACAACAATTCTCATAAACAACCATATTTGAGGGTTAGTTTAAAGTTTGGATTATGGCTGAGCGAATACAATCATATATTGCAATGATACTTTTTAATTTATGTACAGTACACCGTTGCTTAAAGTAAAACTGTAATATTGTGAAATATGATTACAATTTAAAACAACTGTTTTCTTTTTGAATATATTTTAAAATGTATTCCTGTGATGGCAAAAGCTGAATTTTAGATTCACTAGATTCAGAAATTATTGTAATATGCTGATTTGGTGCTTAAGAAACATTTCTTATTATGATTAATATTGAAAATGGTTGTGCTGCTTAATATTTTTGTGGAAACCGTGGTGAATAGAGAGTTCATGAAAGTTTATAAAAAAACCCCCCTGAATTTACTTAAAACAGAAGTTTTTTGTAATGTGATAAATCCACTGGCTCCCTGTGGACTTTCGTACTGATTTCAAAATTATTTTATTTGTTTTTAAATGTCTGCATGGCCTGGCCCCCCAGTACCTGTCTGATCTGCTTGTGCCCTACACCCCCTTTCATTCGCTCCGGTCGGCTGATCAGGCACTGCTTGTCGTCCCCAAGACCAAACGCAAATCTAGAGGTGACCGTGCGTTTGCTGTGGCAGCTCCGAGACTCTGGAATGAGCTGCCTTTGCACATCAGATTGTCTGAGTCTCTTTCTGTTTTTAAATCCCGTCTTAAAACTCATTTATTTTCTTTGGCTTTTAACTTAGTTTGAGGGTTGACTTTTAGTTTTGTATTATTGTTGTATTTATTTTTATTGTTATTTATTGTTTTATTTCTTTTGTTGTGCTTCTGTTTTATGTTATTGTTTATTTCTAGACTGTGTTCAGCACTTTGGTCAACAGTGTTGTTTTTAAGGTGCTTTATAAATAAAGGTGGATTGGATTGGATTAGAAAAAGTGAAGTGAAGTGCACAAATGAGATTGTGACATAAATACATCCAGTATATCAAATATGAATTGTATTGTAAGGTGATACCTAGTTCTACAGTTAAAACTATGACTCTTTACAGGAATGCTGTTTGAGGACCAACAAAAGATGCTTAACCCGGAACACATCATACTTCCGGCAAAATCATGGCCACCATTCAATAAATGTACACTGGGAATGTGTAAGTGATGTCTGGCATGGCTATCTGCAGTAAAGGGCAAGGAAACTGACATTACCGACATGTTTTGTATTCATGAGGGGCTTCTTCAACAGCTATAAAACCAAGAGGACACTTTCCTATTACCTTTTTACTTGAGGGGGAGAACAAAGGTCCTTACATGGATCGTTTAACCCGACTGCTAGGACGTGTGTGCAAGTGTGTGTAGATTTGTCTAACACACAAGCAGAATAAACAACGCAGGATTTGTTGCATATGGGGTGGAACAGGGAGAACCATGGGAAATCAACATGGGTAATGAAGTAAATACACACAAGGGTAAAAAGAAAGTGAACGAACATGACAATGTGCACCCGCGCCGAATATCTCATGTACACAGAGGGGAGGTGGGTTTATCTGCTATTCATGGAATTCTCTCATTCAGCCGTTTTACCCCCGGGAACAAAGCGCTAAGTACAAATGAGCTTTGTACAAATGCTGTATCGGGAGCAGGAAGGAAATCAGCGCAGTGACTATAGATTGGTTTAATTATTTGCTGCGAGGCCTTTACATTGCTTCCAGGCTGGGCTGTAGGGTTCAGATACGACAGAGACAGAAGCATCATGTTTTAGTACCACTGGGGCAAAAGCCTCGACACAGCAGAAGCATGAAAAGACAGGGTAAGGATGGTACAGATAATAGGAATTACAGTTCTGTGATGTGTTCTGAGGACCAACAACTTTACAGACCCTGGAGTGGATCCTTTATCTAATGTACTACTACTGGTTTAAAGTCGCAATGAAACAGAAGTAGTGACAGATCTTTTCTTCAGTATTGTTACGTACGACCTTCTTTTATCTGTGGAACATAAAAGAAGATATACTGTATACTGCAGATCTGTTTTCTTTTAACATACAACAATATTCAAGGGTATCCAAAACAACACTTTAGCTGCGTTGAGTATCATTGTATGGAAAAAATAAAATCTTCTTTTGTGTTGAGGATGAGTTAATGATGACACAATTTTTGGGTGTTTGGGTGAACTTACTATTTAAGTCCAGAAAAAAAAACACTAAATAGCATATATATGTGAAAAGAAATGCATCACATCCATGGCTACGAATTCAAGTGAAGCAGCACAGAGAAGAGTTTTCTCTTCCTGGAGTGAAAGTGTAGTATTGAGCCACAGATGTAAGGCAGCCTGTGGGAGCAATTGCACTGATCCAGAGGCCAAGAATCTGAGAGAATTCGATATTGACTGCAATACCCTAGATAGCACAAGTAAATATGTGTAAAATGGAAATGTGAGTTAAAACCTTGCAATTACAAGGTTCATGCATATTTAAACCGAAAGGAGATTTTGAAAGCTAAGGGTAACCATCCGAGTCTCTAGCTCGTAGCGAGTCGCCATCTTTAAACGGAGGGCATGCAGTGTTTGATGGAGGTCTTGACACAGAGCATGAACTACAGAAAAGGCTTGTTCATGTCAGCGATGCTATTACTATATTCAAATGAGGGAGGCGGGGCTTAAATGCAAAGAGTGGCTCTCAGTGATTACAACCAATTTTAGTCCAGACACATTCAGTCTGTAATGTACAAGTTTGAAGTTTACAGAAGAAGTTGTTCAGTGTCATATCTCTGGTTAAGGTGTATTAACTTTAAAAGAAAAGTTATCATTGCATTATGCATACTGACCTTTCGAACAGAAAGGCCCATCATAAGCGGTGGTGGTGCAGTCACAGGAATAGCCGTTGTATTTCTCCATACACTTGCCGCCATTACGGCAATACATCCCAAAACTGGTGCAGTGACCTGAACAACCAGGCTTCACACCAGGAGTGACTTTTGCCCTCTCTTCTAAGTCGAGCGTCACCCCGTTCATCTTCAGAGAGCGGATGCATCCGAGAAATCCTCTCTGACCTCCTGCGGCACCTAGATGGGAAATCGAAACAAAAGACTAGTCAATATTCTGCTTGAAAATGCTGGTTTTAATAAAAGCATAAGTGGCTCAACAAAATGACTTAATCATTTTCATAGCAGGCTCAACAACAAGCTTGAAAACAACAGGTTAAATGAGAGACATTAAGTCTCAGCCAATAGTTCAACCCCTTTTAGCACGTTTCATTCATTATGGCATGGACCATTCAATACAATAGACCTTGGAGAAATTAGACACCATTAGAGTTCCACTTCCAGGAGAAAATAAACATTCACCAATTGCTCATTGTCGTGCCCGGACATCTTTTCACTATAGGAAACTGGCCAGTTAAACAGAAATCATACAATCATTTGCTAGATTAATACTAGATTAATGGTAAATGTCCTGGTAGGATGCATCAATTATTTACTAATGGTAAATAATAAAAGCAGACCCACAAGTACAAACCTACTACAATTTATCAAGCTGCCAATCTAGGAGAGCTTAATCAATTCCTCCAGAGAAATTATATGGATTGGAGTATCTATAGATTAGAGACATTACAGGTTGCTTAATCTTTACAGAATAAGAAAACATGTGACGTTTTCAAAGCTTTCTAAACTCAATTTAACTCAAACTTGCATTAACAGGGGAGTTTTAATTGAAACGATGACCTGGTTGCCTATTTAATACAAAACAAACTCACTGAATCCTTTGCTAATAAACCAGAGCGGAACTCTTATCATCAAATGTACAGTAAATATGCTGTACTATTATAAAATGAAAGACACAATGTCTCATGTTTCAAGGACGAACACAAGATAAACACACAAACACATTTTAATTAACATTTTTATTTATAACTCGTCGCATGATTGTTCCAACTGGATTCATGTCACTTATAGGCGTTTTCTTCTGTCCTTGTTTGTTACTGAAAAATATTTTTCACCAGCATTGTTTTAATAAACACAAGATGTGTTTTAACATTGGAAAGTACATCATGAATATATGAGTAAGGAAAGAAGCTGTTATGTCAAGCTGTTAAAACCCTTCTGAAGTTCACTGCCTCCATCTCTGATGAGCCCTGAATTGGAAATTATTTTCTAATGAAACCGTAATGAATTCGCATATTACATTTATTAGACCATCCTGCCCAGTGGAATATTTTTTTCTGCTTTTACCTTCGCGTTGTACAGGCTGTTTGTAGCCTTATATTGCAGCAAAGGTTCACCTGTACAAAATATCACAGACAGACAGACAGACAGACAGACAGACAGACAGACAGACAGACAGACAGACAGACAGACAGACAGACAGACAGACAGACAGACAGACAGACAGACAGACAGATAGATAGATAGATAGATAGATAGATAGATAGATAGATAGATAGATAGATAGATAGATAGATAGATAGATAGATAGATAGATAGATAGATAGATAGATAGATAGATAGATAGATAGATTACACTAGACTGTTTGTTTGGGGACATTTTACAAAAAAGTTACCTACTGTCCTGACAGGCCCATGATGCTGGCTTCCCTTTGGAGAACCAATACCACCCAGACATGCAAGCAATGAAAGAAAGAAAAATAATACCATAATAAAAAATGATAATGAAAAATTAAATATATATTATAAAAAAGAAAACATGCAGTTATGAGAAACTTAATGCATAATCAAGGCCAAACTTCAAAGAGAACACGAAAAGAAAATACATGGCAAAAAAATAACTTGATGATGGCAAGTAAAGAAGAATTAAAGATTCATATAAACAGTGAATACTGACATATGCATATTAAAATACCAGGAACTAGTGCAAATATGTTAGTGGCTGTTAAATCAAAGGTCTGCTTGTTATCTGAGATGAAGAGAAAGACAATAAAGAACGAGCAAGCATTTAATCCTCCATTAAATATAATAAGGCCACTATAAATGCAAAACAATTTCAAATAGACACAAGCATCCATGGGTGAAAGGAAGTAGAAGGCAATCTGCTTTATCAATAAATTATGGCATGGGACTAAATGGTGCTGAAGAAGTGAGCATGATGGAGCAATTCATAAGCAGAGGAGAGGAGGCCAGAGAGAGGCTTGACAGATCTGGACATCTCCACCCCTGCCCACTCTGCAGATATAAACCAGTTAGTTTTCCCACTGAGGGTCAGGGACTAAAGACTGAGAGCTGCTCTCCGCAAACACTCACATCAACATTTTACATTTCTACTGAAACAAATGGACAGGGATTGGACAACCTTTAACATTCATTTGTACTGCAAGGCTCATTACACCTAACCCTAGTGTGCTTGATAATGAAATTGAAATGCCAGTCCAACATTCTTACGATCCAAGCGTAGAATAAGAATGAAAATTTCATGTGCTCCATGGACATGCAAATGAGACCTAGAGAGGGTTATGGCTTGGGCTGGGCAATATATTGAATATTAATCCACGATTTGGCTGGTTCCAAAGAAATATCACATGCTCAAAGTCTAGTGTGACCTTCTCTTTAAGCTATACTTGTTTTAAGATCCAATATTCGATTACCATCTAATTGAAACTTTAGTGGCAAAGAAGTCGCTAGAGTGGCATGTAATTATGCCTAATTTATAGTTATTACTATAGTAAATACATGTAACGTGTAACAAGGACACATAAAAAATAAAGTGGTACCAATATTAGAAAATTGTAGGTGAATATTGATGATGATTATTGTTTTGCTGTACTGATATTAAATAATTAAACATTCTTTCCTTTAGGTAATTAAAAGAGTCATTTTTCAGATCACATGTCGGAGTGTGTTTATAAAACATAAAATCACTGTAAAATGATATTTTTTTGTATTTATAAGTAATACATTTTAATAAAAATTAAAATATAATTATAGTGCAAACACTAATATTATTATTAATAATAAACCTGTATAGTTCCTGTGTTGGAGAATTTTGCTTTTACAAAAAACTTTGATATCAATCAAAACTTAAGCTTAAGAATTCAAACTTTAAATACACAAGCTAAACAAGCTTTCTCAAGAGAGCCATAGGGGTGCATTATCTTCTTCTTTCTTAATGAGCGTCAAAGTCATTTGTTCAAAAGAATAAGTCAAAGCCAAAATAGCACAATGAAAGCCCAAAGCTGTTCTGTTCAAGAGATAATTGCCTCATGAATGACACAGCTTTTTCACACTTTTAAAGCAATAAAAAAACTCCTTGCTAATGTTAGCATAGAACACATGGAACCATTATTAGTCATATTCCCTGCTGTGCCTGAGACATTTTTCAGCCATATTCAGTGAAACCCATTTTCAACTTCCATTTCTTTACAGTGGACTTTTTCATACTTCGGAGGCGAATAGGTTCCCCAGGGTTCCATGTCATTAAGTGCAGGTTTTAACAGCTACACCTGCATTTAGACTGCTGACTATAAATACATTTTCACTTTCAGACACACGAGAACATAGAGCGCTATGCTCAAGAATTCAGAGAAACAGCTGATTTCTCAGCAAAAACAGCGAGACAGAGAGAGTGAGAGAGGGGGAAAAAAGAGTGAGAAAGTGAAGAGAGAGAGAAGAGAGAATAATTCAAACTCAAAAGAACAGCTAAGAATGGAAAGATTCAGGAGGAATTAAGCCATTTTTGAGTACACTCTAAAAAATATAGTTTCCAAAAGGGGGTTTTCACAGCGATGCCATAGAAGAACCATTTTTGGTTCCCCAAAGAAGATTTCAGTCAACTGTTCTTAAAAGAACAACTTTTTTTTATAGTGTGAAGAATATTTTAATAATCTAAAAGAACCTTTTTCCATTATAAAGAAGTTGCCTTTTGTGGAATGGAAAGATTATGTTAAAAGTTCTTGGAACCATTGATGCCAATACAATTTTTTTATTTTAAGTAAGGTGACCAGATGTCCTGTTTTTCCCAGAATTGTTCCTGTTTTTTCCCGTATTTCTTCTTTCCTAAATTGTCTTTGCTAGGTGATCATATAAAAGTGAGTATATCAGTCTACGGTCACGTGAGAATAGCCTAATCAAAGGTAGCCAATCTCGTCATACTATATTTTGGAGAACAAAATTACCATCCAATCACAGTTCATTATCGATTAACTTGCTGTTAGTGAAGGAAGGAAATTAGAGATCGTGGAGGAGATCAAGTCAGACGCGAAGATGTCAAAGAAGCTTGTGTACATTTATCAAGGATCTTCAAAAAAGAGTTTATCAAGTTATTATGCGCAGAAAGTTGTGATGTGGTGTCTTGCTGAATGAAAAACACCAGAAGCGCTCTCACAGACTTAAGTGAACGTAAAAGCTCGGTGAAAATCGGATATATGTGTCAGTATATTAGATCCTAACATTCAGTCTTAAAGTGACAGCAGCCTAAAATTCCTGTGTGTGTTATTAATGTTAATCAAACAACTAAAGATATCAAATAAATGTATACATGTTAAATAAACCTACTGTACCTGAAAAACTTAGTTTATTTCATTTGTAACTCTATCGTATTTGTCCAATTGTTTGTAATTTGCAATACATTTTTTATATACCAAAAATAAAATACTATATGATATATATTGTTATCATGAAATAAAATTTCTCATATCATGGGGGTTTGTCCGTCCCGTATTCCACCATGAGAAATCTGGTCACCCTAATTTTAAGAGTATATGATAATGAAGAAAGATCCTCTTTTTATCCATTTTAATCAGCAATCAGATTTTCAAGAGCCCATCAATAACATTAGTAATTACAACAAAACAGTACAGCATCCTGCCGACCTCCAACACTGTAAAAAAAAGTGCCTTAAATTTTTAAGTACAATCAACTTGAATGTTTAAATTACATTGAACTGACTTAACAAAATGTGTTGAATCTTGTATAACTTAATCTTGTATAAAAAAGTTAAAAAGCAATGCAAAAACAATATGCATCAATACTGTAATGAATTGATACATATGTTGTAATGTTGTCATAACTTATTGATCATATCATTTTTTTTTACAGTGAACGATATCACTGTAAGTATGAACAGGCTAGGGCTTCATACTCTTGGGTGGGCGTATGGAAAAGTGTGTTTGTCTGAAGTCCTCACCCACATGAATCCATATATACTCTATATGTGGACGTGCACGCGGCCCTTACCCACATAAAGCTGGCTGTAGAGCTCCAGGCGTGTGTGTCCCTGTGTAGGTGCAGCTCTGAACTCCTTGTATTTCTGGTCTAGTTGAAGAATGGCCTCTTTAGTGTTCCTCTCTGCGCTGACCCGATGCCACTGGTCGTCATTCAGCGGGGCAGGAGATTGCACGTTCAGTTCCACCGGCCCGTTTCCTACATCGAACGAAAACGACACCACCATTGGGGCTATAGAGAAAAACAAACAGACAGAGAGACCATTTAAACTATTATAATACTGAGCATATTAGAATGATTTCTGAAGGATCATTTGACACTGAAGACTGGAGTAATGATGCTGAAATGGAGATGCTCACGATTAACTAATTGCTTATTAGTATGCATATTAATATTGGCGGTTTATTAATACATATGAAGCACATATTAATGCCTTATTCTGCATGACCATATTCCACATCCCTTAATCCCTCCCAATACCTAAACTTAACAACTACCTTACTCACTATTAATAAACAGTAATTACAGGTTTATTAATGCAAAAGTCATAGTAAATAGTTAGTAGTGAGAACTGGAACCTAAACTAAAGTGTTACCATTAATATTACTCAGTACTTATTTAAGTACAAAGTAATGAAACCTTAAAATAAAGTGTAACCAATAATATTATATGAAAAATAAGAAAAATGTATATAAAAATGTATGTGGGCAGATGCATAATGCATAATGCTCATTTATTTATGTTTTTCAAAAGAAAAGAAAAGTATTTTGAAACTGTAATTGGTGTTGTACTTTTTAAGAGTTATTCTCCTGACATTTTAATTTAAACATTTAAATATTTGAATCCACTTACTGCAATAATACCTGACTGCATAATCACTTGAAATGTCAACAGCAGGTAGTTCTGCAGGCTCAATTAATGTCCATATATTATTGTTTTGCTCAATAATTATTTAGCAGAACAACAATCCAATGACTTAAAATGCAGAATTACCAAACTCATCGGACTGCTTCACTCAGGTACGTCATTAAAATTCCTCTAAGCTGAATTGGAGATTGTTTGTTCACTGTGCTAAATTCATTTTAGGCCACAACTGCTTTTAATGAGTCAGTGTTGCATATTCTCCTACATAAACAGTGAAGAGTGACAGCTGTACTCCTGCAGGAGGAGATGTGTTTGAGCCATGACTGCTGTGGTACAGTCTGTCATGTTTGGCCCCAGAGGGCCAGGCCTCTTTGGGTTTAACCCTTGATAAATTTGGAAACATCCACCTAACACCCGAGACAAGTCATAGCAACAGTGTCATCGTTCACCCTAAATCCAATGCTACTCTCAGACATGAACGATAGTATGAATGTGTTTAATGACTGCATGCATAGTATATCTGATAAGAAGACAGTGCCTCAAAATTATTCATGATACCTAAAACAAGTGCTTTAACTGCTCAGACAGCTATAGTTGGTGTCATGCTTCAAGACACCTTTGAAATGCGTATGTACAACAAGCATTTATTATTATGGAGTTTCTAGACTTATGGAGGGGTTGACTGCATGAAGTTAGAATCACAAACACCATCCATCCTTATTGACAGTCTTTTAACCAATCAAATCACTTATATTTGTGAATCAACATCAAGGGATAATAGTATCAACATTTCTTAAAAATACAAAACTGCAGTAATATATATATATTTTTTCAATGCAGAATACACATGTACACAGCTCATTTACATATGCATTAAAATAGCTACAGATACACTACTCTAAACTTTGGGGCCAGTAATTTTTTATTACTTTTATTCAGCACTAATGCATTAAATTGATCAAAAGTGACAATAAAGACTTTAACACTGTTAAAAATTACATATAAATACTGTTCTTTTGAACTTTCTATTCATCAAAGAATCCTGAAAAAGACAGGTTCCACAAAAATGGTAAGCAGCACAACTGTTTTCGACATTGATAATTAGAAATGATTCTCGAGCAGCAAATCAGCATATTAAAATGATTTCTGAAGGATCATGTGACACTGAAGACTGAAGTAATGATGCTGAATACAGCTTTGCTGTCACAGTAATAAATTGCATTTAAAAAATTTGTAATAATATTTCACAATATAACTGTTTTACTGTATTTTTGAACAAATAAATGCAGCCTTGGTGAGCATATGCGACTTGCATTTTCTTATTGGTTTGGGCACTTTCACAAGGCAACATTTCAAAACAGAACAAAATGTGTTAATAAAAGTCTAGTTTAGCTCAGTTTAGCGACATTTTTAAGATTGCAAAATGAAAATGAGGGCTATCATGACTATAGCACCATGGGGATTAATATCAATTTACAATTAACAACATGACACACACACAATAATATATACACTGTACAAAGCCCAAAAAAACCCCCCAAAGCCTGCCTTATTCACACTGAAGTGAAATTATTTAAAAGGACAAACCTGGCTTCTAGTCAAATATGTCTCTAAATGTATTGGTCCGACCGGCTCCGTTCAGCAGGGGTTACTGTGGCTGCACAGACGCTGAAGGCAAGAACTAAATTGGATCTGCTTTGTGTCGGCAGCACAGTTAGCCTGCAGTGATAGCCGGCCACTGCTATTGTCACCATCTAGGAAGCTAAGAGTAGTGCTGCTGTGATATGATACCAAGTGTGCCAGCTGAGGGACACAGTACTGTCCAAACACAAAAACTTATTTCTGCCATTACATATTTTTTTCTACAAATATCTGCTATTGTGAGCTGCCTGCAGTCAGTTTTATTTATGCCAAAGAAACCAATGTAATGTTCAGCGTGGAATCTCTCGGAGGTCTGTTTTCTGGTTTCCTCGTGGCTGGAGTGACAGGTGTTCTCAGTAGGGGGTGCTGTTTTACTGTTCTACGATCTGATGCAGATTGTGCAGGAATTGGGGATCCACAGAGCCACCTGTTCATCTCAGATTCTGAACTAGAGGAAGGAAACTTAACTAACTTAACTTCTGTGTGTGAGCAAAGGCCGAGTGCCATAAAGTTGGTCTGAGCAGTTGTGGCCCATTTTAGCTCAGTTATGAGCACACATGCTAACACAAATAAACATACATTATATATTCAAGCTTACAAAACAAAACACTGGACATACATTAGACCCAGACCCAAATGTAATCATTATTATCCTCATTAATAATAATAATAATAATAATAATAGTAATAATGACGATAATAATTAAAAGTGCTATATATATATATATATACACACATTACCAAACATGTGCGAAATAATCAGCAAAATCCCATCATTAATTCAGTTAAATATAAATAAGAAAGCTTAGGAGATCATACTGTAAGAAACAAATCCAGAGAAAGGGTACTGGTAATGTTCTGCCAAAACATTATCCGTTACACATCTTGTTTAAACCTAAATCACAATGCAGTGCAACATTCCAAATACGAGTAAAACAAGTGAAAAAAATCAATGCAGAAAATGATTACACATACACAATGCAACATTTGGTGATTCAGCCCTCAGAATACAAATATTCAGGTCCACAGTGACCACAGTAGATGCTACACACCTCAGCAGAAATGTTTTCTAAAAGAACAAACTACTGACAACAAGGGAGACTTAATAAACGAAACAATTCCCTATTCGAGAGCATTTCGAGAGATGGCAAAAGAAAGAGAGAGCGAGAGAGGGAAGAAGAGGGCAGGTGTGTAGTTTGGACTAGGGCTGCTCCACCATTCTCAGCCCTCTGATCCCTGTAATTGGATTTCCTGCATTTGGCCAGCCAGCAACGAGCATCAAGAGTGTGCCACTGTTCTTGGGGAGCGTTTCGCTTGAGTGTGTGCTTGTTTATGTGTGTGGACCGCTCCGCTGTCCACAACTGAGGGCATTCTGTGGACTGGTGCTCTTGCATTCACAAGGAAAACTAAACAAAATCAACAAGCCAAACAGCATGACAGTGAAAAAGTGGGTTTGTGTTTATATGGGTGTATTATATATTGGCACCCGCCAAACTGGCTGAGAGTAGATCTACCTAACCAACAGAGCAGTTATGGCCCGATGCATTTCCAGAGACCACATAAATGACTTTTATACAGATGGTGAATGCTAATTTACAATGGTATATGGTATCTGCATTGTCAAAGGAAATGATAATGCACTAAATCAGAATTTTTTTTAAAGTCCCCCTGTGGTGAAAATCAAGCTTTTAATGTTGTTTATATGTCACATTATATGTGATGTTTTTAATATGCTTTAAGACAAACCAGGTGCAGATTCATGTCAACACCATTGCCAAGTATTGTCTCTTTAAAACTGCAGTGAAAAAAAGACTGTTTGAAATTGCTGGTGTTTCTGACATCACAAACGGCGACGTCAGGCTTTAGCATATCATATGTGTGAGTGAGTGGAGGCGGGGTTAATTTTCATATTTATGTATCCGCGTATACTAAATGAAGCAAGGGTGTAGAGTTACATTCAAGCTATTTTAAAGCATGAGGAATTTCTCTCCCCAGGAAAAAACCTTTAAATATGTCATTTTGGTGATCAAAGATGAGTTTTAAAGGGATAGTTTACCCAAAAATGAAAATTCTGTCAGTAATTACTCACCCTCATGTTGTTCCAACCCCGTAAGACCTTCGTTCATCTTCGGAACACGAATTAAGATATTTTTGATGAAATCTGAGAGCTGGATCACTCCTCCATACTAGTCCATAGGCTTCTTCAGGGATTGAACTTGCCGGCCTTGAAAAGTTATGAAAGACATCGTTAAAATAGTCCAAGTGACTACAGTGGCTCAATCTTAAGTTTATCAAGCGATGAGAATACTTTTTGTGCGCAAAAAAAACAAAAATAACGACTTTATTTCAACTATTCATTTCCTTCTCTTTGGGCCTCTAGTCAGTTAACGTAGTGTGATTCCATAGAGCTACGTCACACGTAGGCTCACTATTGGCCGACGCTGGTCATGTGCGTGATGCGTGTGACGTACAACAACAGAAGCTTACGCTATTACACTAGTGAACTGACTCGAGGCCCACAGAGAAGGAAATGAATAGTTGAAATAAAGTCGTTATTTTTGTGTTTTTTTTGCGCACAAAAAGTATTCTCATCGCTTGATAAACTTAAGATTGAGCCACTGTAGTCACTTGGACTATTTTAACGATGTCTTTTATAACTTTTCGAGGCCGGCAAGTTCAATCCCTGAAGAAGCCTATGGACTAGTATGGAGGAGTGATCCAGCTCT